AAAGAGTGTGTCAAAATGATAAACTAATAATTTATATTCCTTTCCTTGATGAGTTCAGTAATTTTTAATTAATTACTTTATAACAATAATATGCATGTGTATTGTGTGCTTGTAGCTGGCACCTAGAAAAAAAGATGATCTAGGTTGTCTTTTTGCCTATTATAGATCTCATAAGATTGTCTTTAAATAATACCTAACCAGATTTGACTACAAATAAAAGTCTCGTGAGTTTTCCACTAAGTCCCTAATCCATTAACCGTTCTCAGTAATTAGCTTCTTTTCTGCATGATATCTTGAAGCTTAAACATATAAAAATGTGGTCAATTTAACAATATTGTGAGAACATTGCAAACCTCTCTAGATTTTTAACAGTATCAGTTTTATGGATAATGGATAAAATCTTCTTTATATTAAGAAAATTTATATAATTTAACTTAAGAAATTAGCTGGGTGGTATTCAATACAAGATCATGACATGCACATATATATATATAGAATTAACAATAATAATAATAATTAAGATTCAACCATTAATTAAGAAGAAACAAAGTGGAAATTAACATATATATTTTACAGAGAGAACTCTACTCTTTGGTACGCAGTTTTCAAGTACAACCATCATTTCGGCGAACAGTCCAACCCACTACCGCAGCTCGGCCTCCACACCACCACCACTGTCCCCAGTTTCAGAACGTATAATAATATGTATAATATTTCTGATACACGCACAAAAAAAAAAATCAACTCAGTCTCTCTCTTCATATAAATTATTAAAAAACGCAAAAAAAAGGAGAAAAAAAAACCATTACCCATGTGATCATCAACAGATCTTTATAATACGCTTATTATGACTAACTGGAACTGCCAGTACTTGGTGGTGGTGGTGGTGGTGTACTAGTAGTAGTATTACTACTAGTGATGATGACCATCTTGGGCTTGGGCCTCTTCCTCTTCTTCTCATAGCTGACGCCTCTGGCCTTGGCCTGAAAATCTCGGACTTCTCGGAGGTAAAGCCTGACGGCTCTGGCGCCGAAGGGGTTGGCCTCGGGGCGGCCGCCGTGCTCCTCGTAGGCA